GCAAACTTTACAATGTGACAGCCTGGATGGGTAGCTGCACAATCATATGTGAGCAGAGTAAACAGAAGGGGCTCAACACACATCCCTGAGGAGAGCCAGTGCTGAGGGTTATGGTGGAGGAGGAGAGGTTGTGGATCCTCACTAACTGTGGTCTGTTTGTTAAAAAGTCTAGTACCCAGTTGCAGATGGAGGGGCTTAGTCTTATTATCAATGAATGTTTGCGACAAAGAATTTAATGATTATAACAAAGATTTCTTCAAGAAACCTCCTAATATAAATCATAAAACCATAATGACTTATGCTCATTCTATATTTGTCAAACGGCCTAAATCTCCTAAAGTGAAAGAGAATCATTTTAAAATAATAAATAAGATATATCCTGTAGCCATGTTTCTGCAAAGAAGATTTAAATTTTATGTTGATTTGTGTCTTTTGTAAATCAGAAGATGAATCCCTCAAGCAATGTTTTTGTTCATGTCAATACAAACATCAAACATCAGAAACTGGATTAATTTCATACTCAAAATTCCTTCTTTTAATGCTGATGCCATTTTACTTTATGTGGATAACTTAAGCTCAGCTTTCTCTGATGCCATAAATATAGTCGTACTTATAGCAAAGTACAACATTCACTGTAGTAAGAGGAGGAATAATAAGCCTTCCTTCCTGTTTGATGAACGATTTTAAGTTATACTATTCTTCATTAAGTAGATTAAAAATCTGCAAAACTGCTAAAATCATTTCACAGCAGATAAAAACTTATTGTTTTAATTAAAACAATGTTTCTCAAGAAAAAAAACTGATGAGCTTGTCAGCAGGTAAGGGGTGTTTACCTTGGGAACAAATTGAGTTTGTCGATTGGTCAGTTACTGACACGCCTTCTGAGTTGATTGACAGGTCGCGCCATCGAGGATCCGATTGAAAAAAAAAAAAAGAGAGCTGCAGCAGCCGCGCTGGGAGGAGGCAGGGCTGCACAAATGCAGCGGAAGCGCAGCAGTCTCTGTGCAGCGCAGGGCTCCAAGTAAAGCAGGAGATAACCAGATATTTTGCTTGTGCCTTCACTGCCTTGGGCTCCTTAGAGATCATGGGCCCCTGGGCAGTTGCCCATATGGTTAATCCGGCCTTGGTTGGAGTGAGAACAAAGAACACAGAAGACAGAGTGAGATGGAGGAGGATTTGCTTTAGCGACCCCTGAAGAAAGAAAAGCTGAAAGAAGATGACCTAATCTAACATTAATCTCATAAATCCTCTTTTTTTTCCTGCATATCTCCTAATTCAAAGGTTCAGCTGGTCTCTCAACAACATTGATCAACTTCTCCCGACAGGAGTCAGGGTAAGGAGGACCCTCTTACCTTGACGGAAACAAATTGGATTCATGATGACAACTGCTTTTTTGCCGTTTGGCTGGTGAATTCTGGATTGTCTATAAATTTGTGTGGATGTGTCGAAGCTCAACAGCACTCAGACTGAATTTGTGGAGCTGCAACAGGGAGCTGGAGCAGCTGTTATCAGGACTGCGGACTCTCTAGCAGAACACATGAAGGGGAAATAATCTTGGAGAAGCTGTGAGCTTGACTTTTGGCGTAAAGGATCAATTCGGCTGTTTTTGAGTTCCATCAGAGGAATACATTCCAGCGAGACTTTAAAAAGCAGAAAACAGCAATTAGCAAGTTCTGCCTGACCCAAACTGTGGCCTTGACAGCAGACTTATCTCAACTTCTCCTGGTATGTTTTGAAAATAACAAAGTCACTTTGTCTGTCTTCTCACCCCTCCCTTCCCCAAGGCCATGGACATGTGACAGAGCCTCAACCGAGCTGATGATGAATAACACCTCTCATCTGGACAATGGGGGGGGGGGGGGGGGGGGGGCGGCTCTGGACTATGCTCCGACTTTCCCTTAAAATTCAATGTCTTCACCGGCCTATATGTACATGTATAACGTCTGTTTATGTTGCTTTGCTCTGGTAGGTTTTTTGATGCCTCAAATCGTGCCCTGTCTAGGACACGGCGTGAGAGATCTTTTTTGATACCGTCTCTCCTCATGTTTTCTTCCCTTTTCTCATCCAAGCAAAATATTATTCTGAATAAGAATAATGAGGACCGCACTTTTTATAGTTGCAGCTTCGTGCACTCCGCCCATCTTTCAGACGACTGTACGTACATGTTCCCGTTGTATCTCAGTGCAATGATAATAAAGTTTATTCTGATTCTGATTCTAAATACTTCAAAAAATAGTTACAAATCAATTGTGTGATCATAAGGACAAAAATTATATGTTTGAGGAGTTTCAGTCAAGGTTTAGAGCTCATTATAGCACAGAAACAGCACTGGTGAAAGTTAATGATATTCTCATGGCTTCAGATAATGAACTTTTGTCTATACTGGTTCTGCTACACCTAAGTGCTGCATTTGATACAGTTGATCACAATATTCTACTAAAGAGACTTGAATACGATACTGGAATTACATTAACGGCTTTAAAATCAGCACCCTTTTTCCGTTTTTCAAAGGAAACTACAGAGATTGGAGGGATTCTGTGCGGCACAACCTTTCCTCTTATGACTGCTTTGTTAAGGTGCTGAAGGACCTTGGCAAATATCAGGGTAAAGGTAACTTTTGGATGGTGGATCTGAGCTTTTTTCCCCTGGAGCTCCTGAAGAGGCAGAACATGGCCGTGTCGAGCCAGGACAAGACCATTTTTACTCAGGACCTGGCCCCCTACATCCTGCAGGAGTACAACACAGAATCTGAGCCACCCGCTGATTCTGTCACCTCTCCCTCACCCAAGAGCTCAGGGGAGCACTCGCTAGGCCTGTCGCATTAAACAATAAATCAATTAATCGCATGATACATGAAAATTATCAACCTCATTTTCATTTATCTGCTTTATTGTTACTTCGTGTCTCTTTCTAATGGACACTGGATGACAAAAGGCTCAACTCCGGTGCTCTTCACTGACTCCTCCCTTTCTCTTGTTTCTTTAAAATCTATTTTAATTGTCCAAAATCAGGTTTTTGGATTGTTAAAAGCAGCTAAGATGAGAAGCTAAGCTACGAGCTAAGCTTACAGGCTGACCGCAGGAAAAAAAACTGTTTTGTCAAAGCTCCAAAATTCACAGTTGAAACTCGTGCCTTCATCTAAAAAGTTGTTTTTTTTCTGCAAAAAGAAGCTGAAAAATAATTTACTGATTTTTTTATTAAAAGCATTGTGTGAAAAATGTTATGCTAAAGAGCTCAAACCACAGAGCGTCCACCATAACAGCCCATGTCCCATCAAGGGGCCTCCCTCCCATTTTTTTTAAAGAGACATATTGTTTGCTCCCTCACTATCCATCCTTCGGTTCAAACAGTCCTATACTGCCATCGAGTGGTCAAAAAAGGTACTACACACAAAACCATAATTTCTTCTTAAATTTGACTATTACTAATTATTGTCAAATTTCAAACAATATTATCGTTTAACACAATAATCTCCGAGACAATTAATCGCCCAGCAAAATTTGTTATTGTGACAGGCCTAGCCCTCGCTACCACATGGGGACCAATTTCGACCCAAGCAGGAGTTGTCCTTTGCCATCCACTCTCTTATGCACAGCCTGCAGCCTTCTGCTGCGTCTGTGGATAGAGAGGTGGCTGCCGGGTGAGATGGAGTGCCCTCGTCATGTTTCCTCGGCCCGCAGTGCCTCAGCCATCTCTGTGAGCCCTGCATCCACCACCTCCTCCTCTGATGAGGAATGGGAAGGAGTGCCAGCACTTTGCATCTTCCTCCCAATATTGCATCTAGATTGGATAGTTGTGAGGATTACAGGCCACCGCTTCAAAAATCTTGCACATCCAAACTACTATTAAGTTTCACTGTTCTGAGTCCAGGGCTTTCTCTTCCAAACTGGAAGTCAGTGGTGTTTAACTATCGTCATATAGACGACATAAAACACCATAAACACGTAACACAGCCAAGGGTGGAAATTCCACCTCATTGTCAATGCACAGAACCACTGTCAGGCGGATCAGGAGAGACATGAATACATCATACATGAAATTATATCAGTTTCTGGACCTTTTTCAATACAGCTCAGTTTTTGGCAGTGACTGAGGTTTACTTTTTAGTCCATCCTTTTGCCATCCTCTCAAAAACATGGCAGTCAGGGAGTGACAGACACAAATGTGTGGTGACCACAATGAGCCACTGACACCAGCTTAAAATTGTATTTAGGTCTTGGTCGTATTTTACTCTGCTTATGAGGGTCAGATGTCAAAATGTCTGCTCAGATTGTAGGGATTCACAAGAGAACAATGTATGTTGAATTCCAAGCAGTAACTGCTACAGTATCCTCCAGATTTCCCCAATTGTTATTTTTGTTGTGTTTATAGATTAACCTGCAAGGTCAGTTCTTGTGCAGTCTACTATTATGAACACTAAAAAGTACAATTTTAGTGTAATAAAAACTGCTGCAGGCTCCATGGGCCCAGAGTCTGAACAGTGATTCAGTTTCACCCTCAGTATTAATTATTTGCATTGAACCAGTGAAAACACGCTCAGGAAAAGCAGAATAGCACTAATGGCTGCTTTAATCTCTGAGAAGCGTTGTGCAGCGCTCTGAATGGGCTCAGACAGTTTCATGCCGCCTCACCTCCTCTCTCCTCCTAAGCTGGAGTCTCGGTGCTCCATTACAAATGAAATCTCAGTTTCTAAAACGTGCCTGGGAGAGGGAGGGTGAAGAAGAGGAGCTGTGGAAGATAAACAGTTGCATTCTTCACACCTCGAGGAGGGGTGATTCATTTTTCAGCATCATCAGCTACTTTAACATGTCTCTGATTTAATTCAATCCCATCTGAGAGAAAACATTTATTCTTGTTGGAAAACCTGTAGCTCTGGTGGCATCTCAAAAGGATGTGTCTGAGCTGGAGGAGGATAAAGTTTGAGATGGGAGGAGTGGGGCTGTGGTTTGACTCTGAAACCAAGACGCTGTGAGGGGACTGAGACAAGCGAGGGGACAAACCTGCCGTCGGTCCAAAGCGATGGCAGTGAGGGTGAGGGTGGAGACGTGCAGGGAGCAGTACTGCACGAAGCGGCTGATGTGGCACATGGTCCTCCCAAACACCCAGGTGCTGTTTACGAAGCGGACCTGACGAAACACACAGAAACCACGGCTGTCAAATCATGGACAGCTTCACGTATTAGAAGAACACGCTTTGAAAAAATGCCTTTAAGGTCAGAGATTCAGGGCACTTAGCATTTAGCACAATGCTACAGTTGACTGAGTTATACCCATTTCTGTACTGAGGCGGCCATCTTTAACTGGGTTAGCTCCAAAGATTAACCAGTTTACATCAAATAAATATTTCCAGAAAGCTTCTTTCAAATCTGTCCAGTAGTTCAAGGGATATTTTGCTAACAGACAGACAAATATGACTTGAAATACTGTAGTTAAAGGCAAAATTTAAACACCAATCTTGCCTGATTGTATTGGGGATCAGTCCCAGTTGCACACTAGACTTTATGGTCATACATGTAAAACGCAGAGTTTTACCAATTTCTGCGTTTTCTAAGGTCAGTTGGCTGTGATGGCCATCTTGAATCAGATTGGCTCCAAACAAAGTTTATTTGTTTAATTAAATGATTGCTTCCTGCAAGTTTGAGTGAAAATCATCCAGCGGTTTGAGATATTTTAATAACATGCACAAATGTTATGTGCACCTTTGTCGTAGAAAGTGAGAAAACCTCGATTTGCTGCAGATTCATGTTAAATTAAGGAAAAGACAAAACTATTTTTATTTGCACCTTCGCAAACACACACACACACACACACACACAAAATGCACTAGGTGAAAGTGACGTCACTGCTGCCAACAGAAAGCATCCCTCTGTCTCTTCACTTTCTTTTTTATATTAATAGCACTTAAATGCTCAAGTATCTGAGATGTGTGGAGAGTAAAAAATAAATAAGTTCTGTCCTGCATGAACAAAATGTTTGCAAACATGCTCCCCGGAGCTGAACTCTGAGTAAAAGCTCCGTGCAGGTGAGTCTCACCAGGGTGAAAGGTGTGTTGAGGACGGTGATGAAGATGTCAGCCACGGCCAGGTTCAGGATGAACAGGCTGGTGGAGGACTGGGTGCGCTTGTTTTTCACCACCACATGGCACACCAGCGTGTTCCCGAACAGAGACACCACGATGATGAGGGAGTATGCGGCCACGAGCAGCGCCTTCACGCCGCCGTCCTGCGCCTCCTTCCCGCTGCTCGTCCTGTCGGCCAGGGAGCGCCAGTCCTCCAGCAAACCCTCGTCAAAGTCCAGGAGGAAGAAGCCCGAGAAGGAGGAGGTGCGGTTCCCGGACCGTCCCGACATGTTGAGAAAAGTCTCCGTGCCGGGGAGCAGAGAGGAGTCGTTGATGAGGAGAGTGCGTCCAGCTGAGGCGCCGAGCCACAACAGCGCCGACAGCCAAACACCGGCTGCTGCCATGCTGTCCCTCTGTCTCCAGTCCCCCTGACACCTAGCTGTGTCCTCTCCGGTCCCCCTGAGACCTGTGTCCTCTCCGGTCCCCCTGAGACCTGTGTCCTTACCGGCAGCTGAGCTGCTGCTGGTATCAGCAACAAGTTGGAGCTCCAGCGCGCCTCGTGCGCCTCCTGTGAGGTCCAGGTGGGCTTCTGGTCCTACAGCCTGTGTGCAGGATGAAACCCTCAACTTCCCTTCATTAAAGAGATAGTTCACGTCTTTTAAAGTGGAGGTTCTGTCAAATAATGTCACGAGTAATAAATATCTTACCTGCTTCAGACAGCTCTCATCCATTTAATTTACTCGTGTCTCCTTTCCTGGTCGTCTCTCCAACACTCACTGAGCGAGAGGTGGACCCTGGACATGTCTCCAGTCCATCACAGGGACACAAGAATATTTAGTGTTACCCATTAACCTAACTTGCATGTTTTTGTTCTGTGGGAGGAAACTGAACTATAAACAGAAAACCCGCATGTGCACGAGAGAACAAACTAACTCCACCCAGACTTCTGACTATTTCTTCCCTTCAAAATTTTGAGAATGAAGTTGGAATTTTGTGTTATAAGTCAAAGTTTTAAAAAAAAGTTTGAATTTTGAAATACACATTTTCAGCAAGATTCTATAATATATATATATTATATACATATAAGGGATGCACGATATTGAATTTTTGACCGATATCCAATATGCTGATATGTAAAAACTTATTCGGCCGATAACCGAAACCGATATTTTATATACGTTCCTTTGTCAGAACATAGCCTCTTATTTAGGCTTATTTGTTACAAAAAATGTGCAACAGGTGTAAGAGCTGGTGACATATATTCAGTAACAGCCATATGATATGTAAAGCACTTTAACTTATATTAAATGAAAAGTGTTAAATGTTATTTATTAGCATTAGTCACCCGCGATGCTGTTTCACCTGTGGAGGCTTGTTCCAGGTTCCTAGCTGCAGTGTGGGATCCTCTGCACTCCTGTGCATGAAGGACAGACTTTTTAAGTTCAAAGTTTTTGTCTAGCCATTGTGCCGTAAGACTAATCATGCTAACGGGGCTAACACAACATCCAAATGTCTGTGGTAATACTCACCCAACAAGTCGTGCTATCGTCTGTTAGCTTCTCAATGATGTCAGAAATGACAGCTTGTAACTCGGGTAACGTTACGTCGGAAAAATATCTCTGACTGGGGACGATGTAGCGAGGCTCAACGTAGTCCATAAATTTTCGGAACCTGGCATCCTCAATAACGAAAAAAAAAAAACCTTCCACACCACCAACATTTTGAATTTTCCTCTCCACCGTGAGATCGAGTAGGCGCACGTGACGTCATCGAGTTGCACAGCCGCTGCAACATCATCATGTTGTGCTGCCGCTGCAGGCAAAAACAATGCTTTTTATATCGGCAAGTTATTTTAATGGAATGGCCAATGTCCGATATTGAACTTTAACGCTAATATCGACCGATGCCATGCCGATAATATCGTGCATCCCTAATATATATATATATATATATATATATATATATATATATATATATATA